TATTAACTCGAAAAACAGAAAATTGTAAAAAATTATCATTAAATAAATTCTATGTATTTATAACTTATTCAGTTTAGACAATCATTTTAATTTCACTTTAAAATTAAAAAAAAATACTTAAATATTATCAAGAAAACACAAATTGTTAACTTTTTTAAAAAAAATATTTAAGAATGTTCATGTAGATTTTTGCAAACTATGATAATTTTTTTAAAAGTTTTATATATATATATCAAAGTTGATTTTAAATAATTATTATTTTACAAATACTGTAAAATAATTTATAATATTAATGTAATAATAATAAAATAAATGTTCCGAAGTTTTAACTCAATATTAATTTTAAAATTCTAAAATAATTACTATTTATTATATTATATATAAGCTATTTTCATTTACAAGTAAATTTGATATTAAAATATTATTGAAATAATTTTAAAATTAATTAATTCAATTTATTTTTAGAATTATGTTATATTAATATTATATATTTTTTACATTAACTATAAAATGACTTGCATTTAAATATCCACTTAAAATGTCCTTTAAATTTTATTTTATTTATCACTTATTACTGTAAAACTGATTATAACACTTTAAAGTGTATTTTTTTTATAAAACTGTGTAAAAATAAAAAATCTATATACATATATATCTAATTATTTTTAACCATTCATTTTTAAGACTTAACTAAAATTATGAATTATTTATTTAAATCGTTATTTCTATTGTTAACAATAATTATTAAAAATCAAAATAAACATAATAGCGTTGAAAATATTTTAAATCTGAATATTAAATATTATGATTATATTGTTGTCGGTTCAGGATCTTCGGGAACAACAGTGGCCGCCCGGTTGGCTGAAAATAGTAAAATAAGTGTATTATTGTTGGAAGCGGGAGGCAATCAAAACTTATACAATGATGTTCCCGGTATTTATTTAATTAATATTATAATCTTCTATTAAAATCATTTACTTAGAGCTATTATTTATAATAGCATACTATTTATTAGTACGGTATTTAATATCTATTACTAGCATTATAATAATACAATATTTAGRAGCTAAATATACTCAATATAACACAAATATTATAATAACATTTATATATTAATAAAACATTTATATAGCATTTGATTCAAAATTAACTGCAACCGACCAAAACTGGAACTATCCTATTGTTAGTCAAAATTATTCATATTTAGCTTATGTAGACAATCGGGTAAACATACAACAGGGACGTGTTTTTGGTGGATCGTCAGCTATTAACTCAATGAACTACTATCGCGAGTGTCCCGACTATTATCGTTTGTGGTCTGATATTACAGGTGTTAAAGACTGGAGTTTTGCTGATGTTTTGCCGTTTTTTCTTAAGACCGAAAATAATTTTGACAATGATTTAGTTATCAATGAACCGATGTATCACAGATCGGGCGGAAAATTACCCGTAACCACACCTATCATCGATACTATTCTTAAAAATTATATAATTGCTTCAAAACAATTGGGTTATAAGTGGACACATATGGATGGAAGGAATCCAATGGGAACCACATATATGCAGAAAACAATAGATAGTAATGGATATCGCGGATCAGTTGCCAAAATATTTCTCGAAAATCGTAGACAAAATAATCTCAAAGTTTTGGGTTATTCTTTGGTAACAAAAATCTTGTTTAATGACAAAAAACAGGCAATTGGTGTTGAGGTTTACAGAAAAACTAAAATATATCAAGTATTTGCTAAGAAAGAAGTTATTATAAGCGCTGGCGCTATAGGAAGTCCTAAATTATTGATGTTATCGGGTATCGGACCGTCAGATCATTTGAATAAACTGAATATTCCTGTAGTTTCTGATCTAAAAGTTGGTTATAATATGATTTATTCACCGATGATTGACACAAATACTATTAGTTTTGATATAATCAATCAATCGTTAGTTGAGAAACCACTCGAAACTTTGGAGAATATTTACAAATTTTTTGTCAACCATTCCGGGCCTTTAAGAAACAAAGTATCGGGTGTTACATGTTTTCCTGAAATGTCGTACAACAGTACATATCCACAACTATGTAATGGATGTGTATTACCCCGAACTAGTTATATAGACACTGATTTGGATGCATTGGTCGCACCTTACAAACATCCCGATCAATGGCGTCAATATTTTAGACCATATCTAAATCGGACCAGTTTTTCACTTTATGCAGTAATAAAACGCGCCAAAAGTGTAGGCCGTATACAACTTGCATCTACTAATCCTCTTGATGATCCTATTATTGATCTATGTCAATTTTGTAATAAAAATGACATAGATGATCTTGTAAAAACAATCAAATTAGCATTAAAAATTTATACAAGCACACATATGAAAAAGTATATTAAACCCTATAAATATCCCATTCCTGGTTGTACTCCCTGTCCTCACAATTACTTTTGCGATACATATCTCAAATGTATAATACAGGCAAATACCGATTGGGTATTACCAATGGGTGGGTGTCGTATAGGTGTATCTCCCAAATCCGATGCTGTTGTCGATGAAAACTTTAAAGTGTTTGGTGTTTCAAATTTACGAGTTATTAACTCCTGTATAATACCGGTTGCAACCGAACAGATAAATGCCATATCGGTTATGATTGGAGAATATGGAGCCCACAAAATCATTAATAACTTTTAAAATGTTTATATTAAAAATTTAAACTATTAATACATAATATATTATACAATTATAATTTTATTAAATAACTCGTGAGATAGTATTTGTATTTTTATTTTAGATATTATTATTGTTTTAATTAATTAATAATTCTGATACTTATTTTGATTTATGACATTATAAATGACTTAAAATTTTAAGTTAGTTATAAATAAAATTAATATTAAATTATCTTAATCTATTTTCAAAAAATTATTTATAAAGAAAATGTTTTTAAAAGTCAAAGTTTAAATATATTAAAAATTACAAATATATTTATAGTTATAACATACATATATATTAGAATAATTAATTTATATATATTTATTTTTAGTACTTATAAAATAAAATATAAATTGTATATTTTTGTAAGTTATTAAATTAAAAGAACAATCACATTTTTTAAAATATTAAATTATCAATACACAATTTTAAATAATATATTTTTAAATAATCAATTGTAAATGAAAATACTAATAATAATTTTTAAAAATATATTTTTTTGCATTTTTAACCTTATATATCAATATTATATAAAATTTAGCAATAAATGTATTGTAGATTACTATTATATTAATTCAATTAACTGTAATATTTAATATCGGTATAACTCTATGAGATTGCTTTTGGCTATAAATACAATCATACATTATATTTCTTTTTATATTTATATATCTGTCATTTTATAGTTAATGTTAGTAACATTTTTATGTAAAACATTTTCTGTAGAAATAATTATTTTTAGAAATATATTCATTTATAAATAATTAAAAAAACTAAATAAATATTTGTATGTCTTTAAATAATTAATATTATATTATTTTTTATATTAGATTTTTATGTATAAAATATTTAGATTCTAAAAGAAAATATCAATAATAATTTAATTTATTTGTATATGATTTTCGATTAATAGGTGAACACATGTAAATTAAAAATATTAATTTAAATAATATATTTTTTAATTTTATTAAATGTATTATTCACAATTATTTATTTTAAAAGTTAAAATTATATTAATATTGTTAATATTGTTAATATGCAATAAAAATAAATATTTAATTTTTTATATACATTAGATATCTATCAGAATTTTATGCGTGTAATAAAAGTGCAATTTTATGTATATATTTCAATATAATTATACTTTTTATACTAAATATATTATACTCTATTGAAGTGCTATTGCGTGCAAAAAATTTAATGATTTGCGCAATGGATATGAAACACCAATACACACACACTATAAGAATATTCTGTATATTTCATTCATTGCATATACTATTTCTATTGATATTACAGTATATATATATATATATATAATATACGGTATAAATACTAAAATCAATAATATCGTTGCCTTCCATACAATAAAATGTTTTACATTTAACTTAGTTGACTCTTATACTGTATATATCATATAAATATATATATATATAGTTATATATATATATATTTAGGTTCAATATACACATGCCCTCAACCAACACATAGACACAGACACTGTCACAACCAGTGAAAATCAAGTCAAGAGGTCTCCGGCATCACAACAACAACAAACTCTTGAGTATTAAACACGAAAACTCGCTTTTTTACTGTTGTTTTATTAGTGTACTGAATATATCAAAAAAAAAAAAAATAATACATTCAACTGTTTTGATGAAATACAATAATAAAATATTTGTGTGTCGACTGTATTAATAATAAACTTCGTATTTGTAATGCATTAATAAAATTTTTAGTATTCACTGTTATTTTCAAATGTGATATTTCTCTATAATAACACAAAAATATACAACAGTTTTTATAACATTTATATATTGTTTGGTGTTTATATGTATTAAAAGAAAAATCAAATTTACAATAATTTTATTTTGTATTCTTTCTATGTTTTTCTTATATATAAGATTGCAATCTATATGTTAAGCAATGTTCTTATAAATGTTATATGATTTAAGCTAAAATCGATTTGAAATATTGAGGAAATAACAAAAATCAATTACAAAACACATTTCTGTGTAATATATTTTTAATAATAATAATAATAATAAAATTTTCATTTAATCATAATTTTTTTATTATAACTTAATATATTTTTGTGGTCATAAATATTGCATTCTAAATAATACTATTATAATATTTAAATGTTACTAATATAATATAATTTTTATTATAGTTATTTAAATTTTCTATAAAAAAAATCTAATTCAAAGTTACGAAAAAATACTATAACAAAATGATTAAAACAAAAAAATCAATTTTTCAAATTATTAAACAAAATATTTGGTCCATTTTGTTGACAACATTGTGGTCGACCATCAAACCGATGAAATGCGATGAAGAGATTGTCAAATCAAACGAAACATTGGAAAACAAGTTGTTTAAGACACCGAAAACAGGTCAGTCATAAAAAACAATACGACATATAGTCGGACATCCACTCAAATGTAATATTTTTTTTAATTGCAAACTATATTTGAAAATTTATTGAACATTCCTCTGCATTGTATTTTAAATGCAAGAATTATAATAATATAGTAACACTTGAGAAAAAATTGAAATAATAATTTAGAGTACAGTATATATACAGTTTAAAACTCGGCACTGGTATGTCGCATTACTGTCACATTTTTTTCGGGCAATACACTTACAATAATGGGAAATGCATTTAGTATCGATTTTTTATCCATTAAGAGTAATAGTAGTAGTGGTTGTAGTTTTGCCGTCAAATTTTCTGTTGACTCAGGAATTCATAAAAATATATAAATTTATATATATATATATATATATATATATAATATCAATGATGATATTTATAGTAAATGAGACATAAAATTGACAGAAACTTATATATAATTTTTATATATGACAATTGTCACGTTTTTTATAGACTAATATAAATTTTATTGTTAAAAGTGTAGACATATAATGTATATATATAATAATAATAATAATCAGACTTGAGTTTTTATAATAGGTTTTAATATTTCTATATTTGAATAAATTATATTTAATGATAATACTGTACAGTATTAGAAATTTGTTTTTCAATAATAAAAATATTAATGCATAATAATATAATCACAATAATAATAATTATAACAGAATATTATTGCAATATTACAATAATACAATATTTGCATAAATCTATAATATATGATATATAGATACATTAAATTACATCATATTGTTTTTCGTTTTATATAATTATGTAATATAAAATAATACTAAAATGTTAAATTACAAAAAAAATTTGTATAACATTTATAATGTTTAAACATATAAAATTAATAAACAAATCAATTGTTTTGCATTAAATTAATATTGTAGAACTAAATTGATATTTTTAAATAAAAAATAATAACAATTTTTTTAAATAATATTTTTAGATAAGATTTTTGGTGAGGACTGTGTCTTACCGTTAGAGTGCACACGAGCTCTGCATTTGACGTGCATTTCAAGGCGTTGTTTTTGCGATGATGGCTATCATAAAGGCTTTAATGATACCTGTATTTTAATACCAGCTAATAATAGTATGTATATTACTGTAAATGTTTTATAATATTTTATATATAAATTAATTATAATATATAATAAAATATGAATAATGACCAATAAATAGCGTAAAGTACACTATGTGTTTGTGTGTGTGTGTGTGTGTGTGTGTCAGTGATTGTGTCAATAGTATTATATTATATAAATTTTTCACTTGAAATGTTATGTAAATTCAATTTTATTATCACCAAAACTAACCAAATTTCAATGAAATTGAAAACCTGTAAGTACTGAAAATTTGTGACAAATAAAAAAAAAGTAAATTTCATTTCTCCAATCAATGGCTACTTAACAAAGCGTTAAAATAAAACTTACACAAAAACACACATAAAACTAAGTTTATGTTAAACCAACTGTAAATTAAATGAAAAACAAAATAGTAATTGTCTATTAAGATTAGCAGATACTTGAATAAATATTTTTTTGAAGATAGAAAGTTAGAAAAATAGTATTACAAAAAAATATTATAACAAATTAATTTATTATATTTATACGATTTGTCAAATTTATGTTGTTATACATGTAGTTATTATATTAATAAATTGATTTTTTCTAACAATTTGCGCTATGATTACTTAATATAAAATCAATATATATATATTTATTATAAATTTTGTATAATATAAATTATATAACACTTGAATTATTTTTGCTACTTATAATTTTATGTAATATTCTTTAAATATATATATATATATATATAATTTGATAATTTATTACAATTGTTTAATTAAAATATAATATATAATACCTAAGCCTGATATTTATATTAGAAAAAATAATTGAATATTGTAAATTTTTATTAAATTTTATAATTTTGAGATGGTAACAGTTACATTTTTTTATCACTTTAAATTAAATTAAATAATAATTTATATGTTAAAATTGCATTTTTATTAAATAGTTTTAGTTATTTTTTATTTTAAGTTATAAAAAATTTATTATGAAAATATTTACCAGTAAATTACAAATTAGATTTTGTTAAAATATCACATTACATTGGTACATTAGATAATCATATTTATTCATACAATAAAAATAGCCTTAAAAAATCAAACAATCATTTTTGTAATTTTATAAACAGAAAATTCTAGAAATCATTAATTTTAATTTTAATGATCTATTTTATAAAACAGTTTAACGCACAGTTAGGTTGGGCACAGGGATATGAAACATGGATTTGAATAACGGTAGTGAATAGTATCAAAGTTGTGACACAAAAGCAAATTGACTGACACACGCATATAATTAATTTATAATTACTTTAGGATTAATTTGCTTTTATCAGACAAAACTTTTTCTTTGTAGATATAACTTACCATTATTTTCAAATATCAAACATACCAGTGCTGGCCAACCTAATTATGTAATGATAAATATTAGGTTATTTATATATGATATTAATTTATCTCAAAATTACTAGGTTTCAAATAATAATAATAACAAAATTAATCAGTGTGTATTTTCTATCACAATTAAAAACTATAATTAACTCGTCCAATGGGGATATTGTCAGTTAGTTTTATTTGTTAATAATAAAATACATTTACTGACAGTAGCTATACTGTAGTTTTTCTCAATTAACCAATAATAACAATAATAAATATACAATTGTAATGAATAGTTAGTTCATCTGTAAAATACATTTATTATAGTATATATATATTAGACAAAAAATAAAAACTAAAATAAATGGTTGGCTTAAATAACATGATGTGATCAATCATTTCAAGTATTACATCACATTTTGTTTGTATCAATTCATTTAATATTTTATTGTCAAACAATATTAGTGGCACAAAAAAATTACAAACTAACAGTACTATGTTTATAGGTTCAATTGTATTGTTCAATATTATCTTTTAGGCCAATACTGTAATCCATTTATTAAAAATATTTTATTTTTTAAAAAAAGTTGATTAATTGTTAGTTTTAAAAATATTAACAAAAAATATATAATATTTATACATCATTGAATTAAGCTTATAAAATTTAATTAAAACTATTTATTAGTTTTATTATATATAACAATAATATTGGGTATTATTAATAAATATTTATAGTTCTCAAATTTATATACAATCCAATATAACATTTGATTATTTTATCTAATAGTAGTCTACTAATAGCTAAGAAAAAACTTAATTAATTAATTAATTAATTTACTTAGAAATAGTATCATTTCATTTAGTATACAATTTGGAAATTTTCTTAATAAAGAATATTCCTTAAATCTTTAATATATCTTACTATTTATAAATTTTTTAACAGAAACTAATGTATAAACAAATAACAAAAAATACTAAATTATATGTAACTTTATTTAATTAATTTTTAATTATATAATATAAATGTCAAAGCATTAGATAAAGTTATATATTATATTTATCACAATTGTTAGAAATGACCTAAAATTATTGTGTCGTATCCAATGTTTATTATTATAATTATTTTATGAGATATTCAAATATATTTGCGGAAAATAAATAATTTTTATAATTTTCATTACAATAATATGTTTTTACTGAGTATATTTTGATCAATATATTTATCAACTCAATTGCAATTATATGTTATTATTTACAACAATATAAAATAGTCAAAAATAATTTTAAATTTTCGTTTGTTTGTTATTAGACTTAAATATAACAATGATTATTATATATGCTTCAAATTTTGTCACATTTTTTAATGTACAATAATTTATACAGTAAAATTATATAAACTAGACATTTTGATTTTTTAAAATTAAAATTTATAGTAATGCTCAATTTTTATTTATATAAAAAATTATATTGTATTAATATATATTCTAATTTAAACAGATAAATATTAATTCAAATTTGCATTTAATATAAAGTTTAATTGTTTTGTTATAATAAAATAAAATTATATTCAGATTATTTTTAATAACATTTATTGTAAAATACAAATAATTATATTTTATTTATTTAATTAAAAGTTTATGTTTTTTTTTAAATATTTAGATTTATATATTACTGTTTTGTACATAACATTAGAGCTAAAAGATTATTATTAATTAAATTATTTCGAAATAAAGTTAATATTGATTTTTATGTGAAAGCATTTGTTTTATATTCCCATTTGTTCACACATTTAACATTTATGACAAATATATATCCCATTTATTGTGTAATAAAATTATCGCTGAAAATGTCATCATTTAATATATTTTTCTCATTAATATTATTATTATTACAAAAGTTAGTAAATGTAAAATGTCATATTTACACATAAACTAATGGCATTAACCATTATAATTAGATGTTATATTTTTCATGAATGGTCATTTATGTATACGGATTTTAATGTTTAAATTGTTATATTTGTCTATTTTATAATGGTTTTAATGGTTAATATTCACAACATTTTTCCTTAACATAATCAATGCAACATTAATTAGTACTGTATATATRTATACCTAATATAATACTGTTTAAAATAAAATACAATTTAATACTGTTTTTACTATTATAATGTAATTTCTATTTGCAATATTATATTTACGGTAATATGTGAATACATAGGCACAAACATAGTATAATACTTTACTATTATTTATTGGTCATATAATATATATATATATATATTTATATAATAAACTAATTTATTGTTGTGTAATCGATGACAGTATTGCTATTTCTAACTATTTATCTTTCATTAAATGCATTCATATATAGGTTTGTCTGAACTAATCAATAATACACCGATGATTCCCATACTCGCTGTTTTAGGCATAATGTTTGTGGGCATCTGTGTTGTACTTAATCTATTTAGTCGGTAAGTATTCATATTATTAAAACAGTATATAAATTATATACTTTACAAATACAAGTTTGTTTATTAATCATAAATTATGTTTACATAATATACATTGCTTAGTTAAATATCATGCACGACAACCATATAAATTTACATTATATTATTGACAATTTTTCGCAAATAATATGATTATACTAATAGCTAATACTAATAATAACAATAACTACATTTGCAGTAATAAACTAATGTAAATATAAAAAATATTATTGTATTACTTTAAATAATTTAATTTCTATAATATTATCCTAATTTAATTGTGACTTTGTTATAATTTTATAGATATAAATATAATTTATATAATTATTTATATAATTGATTCTAGTAGTAGTAGTAATATAAATATTATACTTAAATAATATTTATATATATTATTATTAATTCATCATTAACATGAAAACATAAAAAATAATTTAAATAATATATTATAATAATCTGATTATCAATTTAAATATAAAAATAACGTCAATTAACATTGATTTTAGAAATAAAATTATTACAGTTTTTATTGACAAATTAATTAAATTTATTGATTAATTAAAAAAACTATAATATGATAAATGCATGCAATTTATTTTATAATTAAATCAAATCTATTGATAAATTATAAAAAAGACTATTTAATTAAATATTTAATTACTATATATTTATTATATAACCTTTTGCGATAATATCTATTGATTTATACAATAATTACAATTCAAAAGCTTTAATTAAATGTTACAATTGCGTCAATAACTGTAAATGTGTAATAATGTCAAAACGTTACGTTCAAAATTTTATACATTTTATACATTATAATGTATTAAATTACCGTATATGTTAAACATTGAATTAGTTTTCATTAATTAAATGTCTAAAATTATATTAAGTTAACGTCAATATATTATATGACAAAACTAAAGAAGTTTGTTATTATAGCAAATATATATTTATAAATTAATTTTACTGTTTAATTAAATTACATAATCATTTAATAATCATTTTATTTAATTGTAAATTTGTTTATTAGTTGTTGCCTTAAGAAACGAATATATAAAATCCTAAAATATTTACTTATTTAACAAATAATATAGAGGTTAGAGTCAAAAGATTTTAACCTTAAATAGACGGCAGATATTTGAAAAACAATAAATATATAGAAAGTACAATATTAGCTATTATTGGCAAAAAAATGTTGAATCTTAATAAAATAGTAAATTAAATTATTGTTTATTTTTAGTAAAATATTTCCATTTTTAAGTTATTCTGAATAAAACTTATTTAATATTTTCAAATTTAAATGATTTATAATATAAATTTTATATCATAGATAGATTTAATATTACATTTATTTATTATAGGAATTTAGACATATCCTAAAGTTTTATCGATAAAATATTGCATAATATTTTTTGAGTGTATTGTATTAAGTTTGTTTTGTTGATTCAATTTTCAAGTTTACTATAAACTATGGTTATTGAATGTTAAGTATAAATATATATTTTGAATTTAAAGGCATTGTGACATTTTTTGCTAAAAAATAAATAAATTGACATGTTTTTTGGGAATATTTTTTTCAAAATTTACCAATATTATTAGATAAATAAAGTTTTATATTGACTATTTAAAAAAATAAATATAAATAAAAATCTATATTTTCAATACAGTATTGAATTGATTATTAATATACTGTAATTTAGCGTATATTAAACTACTTTACTAAACAAATAAAGTTATTTATTTGAATAAAAACTAAGATAATAAAAAATAAATTCAATATTATAAATTTAAAAAAAATAAATTTGAATAATTTTATAAATATATTATATGTTTTTAAAATATAATTTATACTAAATATTTAATATTATATATTTATTTTACTAGAAATTAATTTTGATTATATTTAATTATTTTTTTTTTGATAAACAACTTTAATAAATATTATTATTATATCTAACATTTTATTACAAAAAACATGTATTTCAGGGCCCGTTTCCGTAAAAGCCGATCCATTTTTGTAAACCCACAGCACTTGAGTCAGGCCAAAGCACAGGAGCGCAGGGCCTCACAGTTATCSCAAATGTCGGCACATAATAACAATGGGTGCGTCCGGTCGCCAATAAAGTCATACTATTCTCCTCGTAATAGTTTAGCCGGTGTTTCGCCCACTCATTCCTATGACGGCAAACTTTATTATGGAAATCGTATGTAAAATAATTTKATAATTTTTTTATTAAATTTAAATCYATTTAAAAGTAAACATTTTATGTRTGTGTGTGTGTGTGTGTGTGTGTGTGTGTGTGTGTGTGTGTGTGTGTGTGTGTGTGTGATATTGAAAACATAAATTTAATATACTGTAAATGTTACATAATAGAAAAATTTATTTGCATACTAAACGAAAAAAATATTTGCAAACCTAATTTAATTTAAACAWTATAATAAAAAWTTTTAATAATATTAAAATATTTTTGTTTTTATTTTTTTTAACAATTGTTTTATAAAAATAATTTAGATAAATACATTATTTTTGATAGTTTGATTAAAAAACTATGTTGACTGAAAAATAAATGTTACATTCATTTTATAAAAATTAATGATAGATATTTTTAATAATAATAAAATCTTATATAATAAAAGACAATAATAAATCTTAAAAATTATATAAATATTGAAATATTGTTTGAACAATATTTTATTTTATTTATATAGCTATATATATAGCATGTGATCATTGACCCCAAGATTGGGTGCGGTATTTACAAAGTAGAGTAATATTAATGTCCAGGTGCTCTTATATATATAAATATAAAATATTAGATAATAATTAATGACACACAATTTTATTAGACAATGGATATTACATTAATATTGACTATGATTTTAAAAAATAAAACAATAATTTATTTACAAATATTAATATATCTAACTTTTAAAAAGCTTGATTTAATGCTAAAATAATAAATAGAAAAAAAGTTGAAGTTGAAAATGTGTAATAAAATATATAACTTATTAGCCTTTTTTTATATACAATATATGATAACTCCTACACATTTCTGTATAGTTTTATACACAAATATGCAGACACAGACAAAATGATAAAAAAATCAATATATTATTTATTGACTATATATTATACAAAAGTCAAGATTTAAGGATCCATTCAATAATCAATAGGTTTTTTGAGGTTTTTTTTTATTCTATGAAACAAAAACAGTATTTTTGTTGTTTATATTTAGACAACAAAAAAAGGATTTACTTTATAGAAAATTTCTGAATAAATTGTAGTTTCGATTTTTGTGTTACAAATATTTTTTGTTATTTCGTTATTTATATTGTAATTTATTTTTCTGTCTAATAATAGTTGTTACAGATTTGTCTAATTTTTTGTTTTGTTATTATACTATCCTATTATACAATATCATAGAATGTAAAATAAATATTAAATGGGATGAACACTCATTTTTCTTATTAAAACTTACAATATTTGTATTTTCTAACAATAAGTAAACCTAGTTTTCGGATAACAAATTATTTAACAAAAATAAAAAACATTTTTTATCAAAAGATTTTTTTTGTTTACATTATCTATAAGAGTTAACCTCATAAGTTATAACTCATATATCAATTGGTCAATATTTAATTAAAACTACTGTATATTTTTGTGCAAATATTTTGATAAATAAAACTTTAATATACAGTATATACTGTAGTACTAACAAACTGTGAGTATACTATAAAATTCAAGTAAGTTATAAGTAAAATGTAAGGATAGGCTAAATGTTAGTATTGCTTTGAAAATATATACTGTATTATTGTGTGTATAGTATTGTTTTTTATTGTTATAAAATAATTAAATAATTACATTTTTAGTCAACAGGATACTAATCGGTTTTTTTATAATTAATTACAGATATACTTGAGAGGACCGGTAGTCCATCAAACAGATCCCGTTCCAACTCGACTGCATCGCTGCAAATTCATTTGAATACTATAAGACCCGAACATTTGACATAAATATGAATAGTTTTATTAATATATTGGATAATATTATAGTACTATAGTAATAGCTAACATTAAATCAACAAAAATTCATTATTATAATTATTATTATGTTATCACCAACAGAGACAGAGAGAGAGAGAGAGAGAGAGAGAGAGAGAGAGAGAGAGAGAGAGAGAGAGAGAGAGAGAGAAGAGAGAGAGAGAGAGAGAGAGAGAGATCATCTACAACTAAAACAATCATAATTATTATAATTTATAAACATCAAAAACAATTATCATCACTCTATAAAAGACATTTATAGAGATAAAAACATATAAATAGACAAATATATATGTATATAAAGTATTAAAAATATAAATGATATCTCATTAATTAAATTACTTTATATTTACAGATTTAAATATTAATTAAAGTTGTTACATATATATATATATATAAAGTTTAATCATGTCTAAAAAAAATAATAATATACTGATAACAATTTATTGTTTAAGTTTCATTATATAATTTTTATTCATAATATTTAAATTTATGATTGTCTATATAATGGAAAAAATTAAATGATTTAATTTATAAAATATAGTTTAAATAAAACTATAACTTTATAATAACTAGTTATAAAAACATAAGTTTATACAGTATTTCCAATTACCTAGCAACTATAGTATTTACATATAAATTTTCATAAAAAATAAGTTATATGGAAAAATCGACATCAATTTTATTGATTTTACAGTAGTACTGAAAATGTTTTGAAAGTATTAATAATATTATCGTATAATAAGCATTTCAGAACTGGTGTTGTAATATAGTATATAATAATAAAAAAAAGTTTGAATAGTTTAACAATGATTTACATAAATCTAAATTTTTAGTAAAAGTGGACTAAAGTGTGTTCAAGAGAGAGAGAGAGAGAAGAGAGAGAGAGAGAGAGAGAGAGAGAGAGAGAGAGAGAGAGAGAGAGAGAGAGAGAGAGAGAGAGAGAGAGAGAGAGAGAGAGTGCAATCATATTATCTTAATACCTAATGGACAGTGGTTTCCCTTAAGTTCAATAACAAAGTACAGTAATTGATATGCAGTACATTACTGTCCACTCAAAAAGCTAATGTAGTGCTAGACTAATGGTGCAAAGATCTTGGTCATCAATTTTAATAGACGGCATACATTTTATTTGACATTTTGCTTTAGTAGTAAAGTATTGCATACAGTATTAATATTATACATTATATTAAATATATACCCGGTATATAATTTTTTTTAAAAAACTTGGTATAAGTTATAACATTATTTTTTATTAAGATTAAAGCAAATTATTTTACATTAGTGTAGTACACATACAAATAATAATAAATATAATTAAATAAAACATGTATAAACAGTAAACATAAATTTATATTATAATTTATAAAGAATTATTTGAATGTAAACATTTATAAAATAATTAAATATGCATTGATTGCAACTATTATATATAAATTTATATTGTAGTTATTAATATACAATAATGTTGCAATGCCAAAGTCTAAATTATTTTAATTTGTTTAAAAATTAATATAAAAAATTAATAATTATTAAAATACTAAATACAAGACGTTATTTTGTAATTATTTACTAATTGAAAATAAACTTAATTAAAAACATAATATTTAATGTTAAATTTTTATGAATATTTTATATATAACTTATATATTAAAATTTGTAATTATTATTTTAACAAACATACTAATAAAAATTGTTAATAAATTTATTTAAAATAAAATAAATATCACTATATAAAAATATTATTAGATTCAAATTACAATAAATCTATCAAAGTTATAAAATTATTTATTTAAATGTACTATTATAATAATTAAAATATTAATAATAAAAAAAATAAATATTTTCTAAAAGATATCATTACATCACTATTAATTACAATCATTATTTTATAAAGTTAAATTACAGTATAAACTCTATACTTATTAAAATACAAAAATTTTGCAAAATAAATTATAGATGATGATCTATATTTGAAAAATTAATATTATGATTAATATTATGATTAGATTAAAATGATATCAAACATATGATAAGAAAATATATTTAAAATATAGACTTAAAGGATTATAATTGGTTTCTAATCAAACTATGCATTTTTAATACATTTAACTTTAAAGTCCAATTTTGAAACTTTATTATTTTTACGACTGTATGATATATTAATTTATGTTTCTTAGTCAATAATTCACATGTAATCTATATTTATTTATTTTAAAAAAATAATAACCATGTGATGTTTATATTAATATAAAAATTTTAATTTTTGAAAAACATTTAACACAAATTATTTAAAAAATGATTTTAGTTGTAAACAGTTTTCTAATAATAATTGCATTGTTTTTTATAAATTGTATAAACTGTGGCACTTTGGACACTATGGTTGACGTCAGTAAGTGTTTTAAATATTTATAACATGAAATATAGTGTAATAATAATACTTTTACTTTATTAAAATTTAAATTATTAAATAAATAATTTTTTTTTTTGATAAAATTTTGTTATTGTAATCACTATTACAGAGCAAAACAATGCCATCAAAGAGATCCGTGTATTATATCAATTGTCACACAAGGAAAACATACCACAAGTATATTCACTAATAAGAGGACAACCAATATATGCGGAAATTGATTTTATACCAAGTATTTAGCACTTAATAAGTTTTTTTTATAAAAAAAATTGTTATTGATTTTCAATAAAAATTTAATTAAAGCAAATTTTTGTGTAAACAAATAAATAATACTGTAATTACAATATAGGATACATACCGGACAACACAGATTATATAGCCGTAACAGTTATAATACCGGAGTTTGATTGTTATGGCCGGCAATATATACTTGGATTTCATCGGGAAAAGTGGCAAATGCCCAGTTGTCGGCTCTGTACTAATACAGACCAAAAGTATACATTACCAGTAGTACTGTATTTAGGACCTGACAGCGGATGCTATAATGTAAAGTTTTTTTTTAATGTTTATCAGTATATTTTTAGCATAAATTATAGTATTTAGTAATATAAAATATATTATACTTAGGGTCGTATACCTACCTATTGGAAAGTAGAGGCCATACCAACCAATCGACCGCTCGACGACCGAACCGATCTTGTAATAGGTTTGGCCTACGATAAGGACAAACAGTTTAGGATCTGTTCGTCACAGGAATCGGAAGATTGTGTTAATTCAATAAATTTATTTATTAAACCAAACTCTGCCAATTGAAATGTTATTTTTTATATAAAATAATTATTTCAATAATTTTTAACAATTAAAATGTCAAACATTTTATCAATAATTTTTAAATATCAAATAATTTATTGTAATTTACTTTAAATGTCCATTTTATTTATTTAAATCATAAACCCATTAATACATCTATAATATCATATATTTATTATAACTTAATTTATAAATACAGTCTTTAAAATATTTAATTATAAGTGAAATAATTGTAAAAAATATTAATTATAATCTATAACTAAACTACTTTATAAGTAGTTTTAATAATAAATATTTTAGAAGTAGTGCTTTATTTGTATAAGCTAATTAACATTTATAAATTATTAATAAGTATATCATATAATTGGTTATTAAAAAAATTTAATAATTTTTTTACCAATTGTTATATATATATATTCAAATAGACTTTCAAACATTGACATACATATTGATAGTTATTGAATTATTTTTTCCGATTACATAACTATTATTAACAAAGTATTAAGTAACTAAATTTACTAAAATAAATTAGACCTAGTAGCTTTTTTAAAAAAATAATGGAAATTATTATTTATGTTTTATAACAGTTAGTTAATACAAAAATTAATTAATAAAAATATATATATATTATATGAAAAATATAACCAAAAATATCTTTCCTCTAAACAAAATATTACCCAAATCTACTAAATAATTAAATTAGTATTTTCAATTTTGTAAAGTTTTGATTTATTAATTAATTAAAATAGTGTATAAATATTTTTAACTTTATAATTTTAATTTATAGATGGCATGCCATGCATGTACAATTAAATAAACTAGTGATGTATAAATAAAAAAAAGTTACAAAATTTATTTTTTTAAAATTCAATTATTTATTAAATACTTTCTATAGTGATCATTAATATTTACGACTTTTATAATGTATTAAATTGACAATAATAAATAATTAATTAGTTTGATTATTATTGTTTTTATTTACAAAAAAAGTAACAAATTTTGTATACAATATAGTATTATAATACTAAAATACTAAATATATTAACAATTCACTATATTAATTATAAATAATTTTTTAAAGTGGTTTAAATAAAAAATTGAAATATTTATATCTAGTCTACTGTACCGTATGTTATCCTATTATATTATTTAGTAAATTATGTAGACACAAACAAATAAAGCAAACAAACAATTTTTACTTAAACTAAACCATTCCCTTAACCAATATGTAAATAATTTATTTATAAACCAATTGTATTTTTATTGAATAAAAATTATTAGTTATTTTTATATTGGATAAGCAATACTGTAAAATAAAATTCAGAAATTTATAAAAGAAAATTCAAAATAAAAAATTATATCCTAAAATTTATGTTATAAATAAAATTATCTTTTGTATTACAGTATATATATATACTGTATATATATTGTATAACTGAGTGATTAGTTTTTAATTATTTAGAGTTAAATAACAAAAATGTAATTATATTTTTTTCACTAAAAATTTTTTGTTATTGAATTAATTTGACGAAATAATAACTTCGTGTTTGTCTTTACAATAAACCGATTGATTATTATTAAGGATTTGTATTTGTTTTAGTCTGTCGTACGCCAAACCCATAATCATATCTGTCTGGTCGTTGTCCTGTGGTTTCAATGGCAGCGCTTCGACCTTCCAGACAGTGGGTACCCGACCCTAATAATGGTGATGACGGACATTATAAATTCAATAACTAATAATCCAGTAATTTACGATTTTATAAAAAAAACCTCTACCTCTGCGCACCAACTATCATCTGGAAGATACAGTGTAACTGGTAATGTATACGACTGGTTAGTATTGGTGCACATTCGACATACGGGTATATTAAACACCTCCTGATGCCATCCAATATACCACTGGCGGCCGCGTATGTGCTCCGGTAGGGTTACGGCAATTGTTATATAATGAGTTAATTGTGGAATATATTCTATATAATTGAAAATATTATTTTTAATTAACTAATTGATAATAGGCTTAACGTAAAATACAGTATATAAAAAGTACAGTTCAATCAAATAATTACAGATAACAATCTAATAATAAAATAATAATTAGTTATTAAAATTTAATTTTTTAATTAATTCAATTATATAATAATTAAGTAACATATGTAAAAATTCTATATAATAACTTATATACAGTATTTACAACAACTAAAAACAAAATATAATAATTGAAACAATAGAGTACTGGGTATAACATCCACTTCAGCAAACATTGGTAGACCACGAGTTAAGGGATAGACTGTTTGCACCTGTGGTTTGACATTGTTTTGTCGTTCATAATATAATATTCTTATTTCTCGAATACCATTATTTCCTTCTAAAATATAAAATAAAAAACATATTTAATTAAGTTTTAGGATTTTTATTTTATTTTGTTGTTATTGTTGTATTTATTATGATAATCATTTAGTAGAAAACTAGATATATATATGATATATATTTTTTTTAATTAAGCATTTTTATACCATTTACTATTTGAGTAATATTAATTAATAAATAATTGCAACAAAATAATTATGATTATTAACTGGAAACTTACTCACGTCAATAAGATTATTTAATGTACCAGATATTACAAATTTAACCAAATTATTTAATAAATGTATTAATAATAATCGCCATATAATATGATTATGAATGGATAATAACATTTTCTATAAATAATACACATTTCTTATATATATATCTATCGATAAATTTATATTATTATTATATATAACTATATCATTATGCTGTATAAATACACACAGTTTTAGATATTATTAAAAACACGACTCACGTTAAAAAACAACAGAAAATATTAATTACTAAACAACAGAAAATTAATATATATATTGGTTTTAATATTTATTATAAATTTATTTATATGGGTTAATTTTTCATGAGAAACATATGATAGTAATAATATTATTACTCAAAAAATATATTGTTAACATCAATAACAATATTGTTAATGAAGTAATATTTTTTATATTAATGAAGTAATATATTGTTGTTGATGTATAACAAAATTGTGTCAACAAATAGACTATTTGACATTATTATATTAATATATATTATTATATTATATTTTTTTTGTTAGCTAAAATTGTTATTTTTATATTTATTGCACACTATTATATTCAATATATTTTACAATTAACTTATATTATAATACATTTACTATTATTAGGAATATTTATTGTGACAACAAAATAATAATAATAATAATATCCTATTAAATTATGAATATAAGCCACCGAATAACAATAATAAACAAAATAGCAATATATTTCAAGTTTAATGTCAATGATCTATAATATAGTTTTATAATACTGTTTTCTAAATGTTTTTTTGCAAACTATTTTAGACAATAATTTTTGTCAGTTTTAATAATAATAATAATATATTACTAAATTTGTAATTTATTATTAGTAATATTATGAAATGTTTCAATGGTATTATTAGTAAATTCAACAAATTTATTATTATATTTGTTTTTCAAATCTACATAGTTTTGTTCAATATTTTCAATGATAATTATAATAATACCAATTGTCATAAATGCCATTATGTAATTAGCAATCTTTATATGATATTCATCCTATTTATTAAAATTTTTAAAAATAATAATATTAAAATTTAAAAACTATTTATATAGCATATTTGAGTTTATTTATTTTATTTAGCTAATATAATGAACTTATATTTGTATTAGTTATATAATATTAGTTATTTTAATAAACATAAATTACCAATGATTGTAATGTTTGCCAACATTTTTGAAACATATTAAGAAATATTTTTGTAAAAATAAATATCAAATATTTAATTAGCAGATTTTTAAAACGATAATCAAATTTAACATATATTTATTTATTTTTTGTTTTGTTGCCATATTATATTATAATATAATTTTAATTAAATATTTACACATGCGTTTTAGTATAATATATTATAATTACAATTATTTTTATCATAAATAAATATACTATTCAATTTTATTAACTTTATTTGTTTATATTAATAAAAATATTCATGTAATTTTAAATTTTTAAAAAATATTTAGGTTAAAGTTTAATTTTAAGCTCCAGTTTATGTAATTTACTTGTTATTTATTTCAATGGAAATTTTCATTCACATGTATATTGTATATGATTTCCGCAATTTTTAGGACAGTTTTGTTACAAAACTTTTGTATGGGTTGAGTATACAAAAAAAAATTAATCATCAAAATGTTTTCATCTATAMATTTATTGATTAAAAGATTTACACTTGACCTCCCTGTGCAATAACTTACTATCTGAGATTATTAAATATAGTCATATATTCAGCAACAGTGTCCATAATAATAATAATAATATAAACTTTTATATTTTGAATAATAATTATTGTGAAAACTGGTGCTTATTAATTATTTTACTATTATAATCAGGGTTGCTAAAGGTTTTCGATTTCAGGGGGGGGGTATAGGGTAGGGTAAAATGGCAAAAATCTCGAAAAAGCTAGGGGGGGTATAGGGTGGGGTGAACATTTTTTATTGCATTTTTAAACGACAATTTTTGCCAAATTTGAGTAAATTCCCAATAAATTCCCAATAAATTCCCAATAAATTCCCATTAAATTCCCATTAAATTCCCATTAAATTCCCATTAAATTCCCATTAAATTCCCATTAAATTCCCATTAAATTCCCATTAAATTCCCATTAAATTCCCATTAAATTCCCATTAAATTCCCATTAAATTCCCAATAAATTTACAATAAATTCCCAATAAATTCCCAATAAATTCCCACTAAATTTTCACTAAAGTTTCACTAAATTTCCACTAAATTTCCATTAAATTCCCTATAAATTCCCACTATATTCCTATTAATTCAGACTAAATTCCCACTAAATTCCCATTAATTCTCTAGATATTTTCAATAAGTTCTCACAAATTAACTACTAAAAATATTCCAAACTTAATTTCTCAA